TGTTCAGGAAAAAATTGCTCGTGTTTATATTCAAGAGATTTTTGCCTGTGTCTTCTAAGAGTTTTATGGTTTCATGACTTAGATTCAGGTCTTTGATCCATTTCGAGTTTACTTTTGTGTATGGAGTTAAACCAGTAATCCAGTTTCATTCTCTTACATGTAGTGTCCAGTTTTGCCAACACCAGTTGTTGAAGAGACTGTCATTTCCCCATTGTATATCCATGGCTCCTTTATTGTATATTAATTGGCCATATATGTATGGGTTTATATCTGGACTCTCTATTCTGTTCCATTGATCTATGGGTCTAGTCTTGTGCTAGCACCAAATTGTCTTGATTACTATGGCTGTGTAGTAGAGCTTGAAGTAGGGGAGAATAATCCTCCCAGCTTTATTCTTCCTTCTCAGGATTGCTTTGGCTATTCGGGGTGTTTTGTGGTTCCATATGAATTTTAGAGCTATTTGTTCTAATTCATTGAAGAATGCTATTGGTATTTTGATAGGGATTGCATTGAATCTCTGTATATTGCTTTAGGCAGGATGGCCATTTTGACAATATTAATTCTTCCTATCCATGAGCACAGGATGTGTTTCCATTTATTGGTATCTTCTTTAATTTCTCTCATAGTGTCTTGTAGTTTTCAGAGTATAGGTCTTTCACTTCCTTGGTTAGATTTTTTCCTAGGTATTTTTTTCTTTTTGATGCAATTGTGAATGAAATTGTTTTCATGATTTGTCTTTCTTCTAGTTCATCATTAGTGTATAGGAATGCAACAGATGTCTGTGTATTAATTTTGTATACACAGACAGCTTTGCTGAATTCAGGTATTCTAGTAATTTTAGAGTGGATTCTTTAGGGTTTTTTATGTGCAATATCATGTCATCTGTAAACAGTGACAGGTTAACTTCTTTCTTACCAATCTAGATGCCTTTTATTTCTTTGTGTTATCTGATTGCCATGGCTAGGACCACCAGTACTGTTTCAAATAAAAGTGGATAGAGTGGGCATCCTTGTCTTGTTTCTGAAATTAAAGGAAAAGCTTATTGCTGTTAAGTGTGATGTTGACTGTAGGTTTGTCTTACATGGCCTTTATTATGTTGACGTACTTGCTCTCTATACATTTTGTTGAGGGTTTTTATCATGATTGAGTGTTGAATTTTGTTGAATACTTTTTCAGCATCTATTCTGATGATCATGTGATTTTTGTCCTTTTTGTTGATGTGGTGTATGATGTTGATGGATTTTTGAATACTATCTTTGATACTATCATGAAAAATTTTGTACCAAAGTCTTTGTGCATACGTGTAATTATATTTGCAGGAGAAATTCCCAGCAGTATAATAGCTGGCCTTAATGATGTATATTAAAAATTTTGATAAATATTGCTAAGCTGCTCCACAACATGATTATACCAGTTTATATTTACAGTGTAAAATAGTGTATAGTACAGTAGTGTACAGAGTGTTTATTTCCCCACAGTGTTGCCCATACTAAGTGTTCTGAAGCTTTAAACTTAATGCCAGTGTGATAAGTGAAACATAGTATCACATGGCTTTAAGCTTTTGTACTTGTTTTACATGCATCTGATATATGGAAATAAATTTGCACTATTACTGAGTATTTCCAGTATGCAGTTGTAAAGACGTTTCTGTCTCCAGCTTGGGTGGTATTCCTTCTTTTCACTGCCTGCCTGCCTGTTCTCGCATGTTGTGCTTCCGCCTCTGCTCCCAGACGCCTCCCCAGGACATTACAGCACTCAGTGATGCTCTGCACTGCATGTTAAACACTTGAGTGCTGGTTTATTTGACAGTCATTTATTTAGCTATGGTAACTTACAGCTTATAGCTATCTTTAGATAGCTGTGATGAGAAATTTATCTTTATTTTTGTGTCTGTTTTTATGTTGCTTCATTTTTTTTTTATTTCTTGCATATTTCTTGATTCTTTTCTGAAATAAAGTGTAAATCACTGGAGTCTGACTGAAAAAACTTTTTTTTTTCCTTTACTGCTTCTACTTTTCAATTAATAGTTAGATAGCCATTAGGGAAGTTATCTGTGGTATCCTAGCACTTTCCTAATTGACAGCTAGGTACTTAGACTCTTTTTATCTCTAGAGCAAAATACAGAATGAAAGAGGAAGGAGATTCTTTGGATAAACTTGTAATTAATTAATTGTATAATCTGAGTGTATTTGCTTTTTGAAAGAAAGAATTTAGATAATACCAAGATTCCTTTAACCATAGGAAGAATTTTGTTTTATTAGCACTCTTGGCAGCTTACATGAGTAGACAGAAATACTGAAAATTACTCATACAATTTTTGTTTTGTTTGTTTTAAGCTTGCTTTATCTGTATAATTGAGGGAGACATCTTTTGAGATTTTTGTCATTTTCAGTGTCACCTTTAGTGACCTGAGGTTGAGTTATACAGGCATATCTTGGAGATACTGCAGGTTCAGTACCAGATCACTACAATAAAGTGAATATAAGGTGAATAAAGCAAGTCAAATGGATTTTTTGGCTTCCCAGTGCATGTAAAAGTCATGTTTCTACATATTGGTAGTCTATTATGTATGTGATAGCATTATATCTGAAAGAGCAATATACATACTATAATTAAAAATATTTTATTGCTAAAATGCTGATCATCATCTGAGTTTTCAGTGAGTTATAATCTTTTTGCTGGTGGAGGGTCTTGCCTCAGTACTGGTGGCTGCTGACTGATAAGTATGTTGGTTGCCGAAGGGTGGAATGTCTATGGCATTTTCTTAAAATAAGACAACAATGAAGTTTGTTGCACCAATTGACTTTTTCTTTCATGAACAATTTCTCTGTAGCATGCAGTGCTGTTTGGTCGCATTTTACCCACAGTAGATCTTTCAGAATTGGAGTCAGTCCTCAAACCCTGGTGCTTTGTCAGCTATGTTTATGGAATAATCTAAATCCTTTGTTGTCATTTCAGCTATCTTCTCAGCATGTTCATCAGGAGTTGATTTCCATCTCAAGAGACCACTTTCTTTGCTCATCCATAAGAAGCAACTCCTCATCCATTCACATTTTATCATAAGATTGTAGCAATTAAGTCACATCTTCAGCCTCCACTTCCATAGAAATTATAGTTCTACCCACCACATCTGCAGTGACTTCCTCCACTGAGGCCTTAAACCCCTCAAAGTCATCCAGAAGGGTTGGAGTCAATTTCTTCCAAACTCCTATTAATGTTGATATTTTGACCACCTCCCATGAATCACCAGTGTTCTTAATGGCATCTAAATTAGAATGGTGAATCCTTTCCAGAAGGTTTTCAATTTACTTTGCATAGATCCATTAGAGGAATCACTATCTCTGACAGCTATTGCTTTACAAAATGTATTCCTTCAATAATAAGACTTGAATATCAAAATTTTTCCTTGATCCAAGGGCTACAGAATGGCAGTTGTGTTAGCAGGCACGAGAACAGCATTAATCTCATTGTCCACCTCTATCAGACCACTTGGGTGATCTGCATTGTCAATGAACAGTGATCTTTTGAAAGGAGTCTTTTTTCTGGCAGTAGTTCTCACCAGTAGGATTAAATACCAAGTAAACCATGCTATAAACAGATGTGCTGTCATCCAGTCTTTGCTATCCCATTTATAGAGCACAGGCAGAGTAGATTTAGCATAATTCTTAAGGCCCCTAGGATTTTTGGAATGGTAAATGAGCACTGTCTTCAAAATTACCAGCTGCATTATCCCCTAACAAAAGAGTCAGCCTATCCATTGAACCTTTGAAGACAGGCATTGACCTCTCCTCTCTAGCTATGAAAATTCTAGATGGCATTGTCTTTCCTATATAAGGCTGTTTTGTCTGCGTTAAAAATATGTTGTTCATTGTGGTCTCCTTCATTAATTATCTTGGCTAGATCTTCTGGATAGCTTGCTGCAGTTTTGACACCAGTACTTGCTGCTTTACCCTGCACATTTGTTATGGGTTCAGCTTCTTAAACCTCATAAACCAACCTGTGCTAGCTTCAGACTTTTTCTTCTGCCTCTTTCTCATCTCTGTTGACCATTACAGAATTAAAGAGAGGGAAGGACTTGCTCTGGATTAAGCTTTGGCTTAAGGATACTGTTTGATTTCCTGTCCAGACCACTGAAACTTTCTCCATATCAGCAGTTTCGCTGTTTGATTTTCTTATCATTCATGTGTTCTCTGAAGTAGCGATTTTTTTTCCTTAAAGAACTTTGCCTTTGCATTAACAAACTTGGCTAACTGACACAAGAAGCCTAGCTTTTGGCGTGTGTCTGTTTTTGACATGCCTTCTTCACTGAGCTTAATAATTTCTAGCTTTTGATTTAAAGTGAGAGATGTCTGACTCTTCTTTCACTTGAACACTTTTAAGCCATTGCATCATTATTAATTGGCTTAATTTCAGTATTGTTGTCTTAGGAAATAGGGAAGCCTGAGGAGAGGGAGAGAGACAGGCGAACAAGCCAGTTAGTGGAGCAATCAGAACACACAGTATTTCTTGACTAAGTTTGCTGTCTTCTGTGGGTGGGTTTTGTGGTTCCTCAAAACAGTTACAATAGTGATGTCAAAGATGGCTCATCAGAAATCGCCATAACAAATACAATAATGGAAAAGTCTGAAATATTGTAAGAATTACCAAAATGTGACACAGAGATGTGAAGTGAGCAAATACTGTTGGAAAAATGGTGGTGATAGACTTGCTTGATGCAGAGTTGCCACAAACCTTCAATTTATAAAAAAATGCAATATCTGTAATGCACATTAAAGGATAGCACAGTAAAACAAGATACACCTGTATGTATTTGTTGGTTTATCACTTCTGACATCAATAATAGTTTTGGTAAGAAGTGTCTGAAATGAGCTCTGCTACTACTCTGTGGCTATCATCAGAAGCAACAAAGTAATCTTTTCTCTTTAGAAGAACTCAAGGAAGGTTGAATATCTAGATGTAGATGTTAATAATTTCTAAAATGTTCTCCCCAAATATTTTAGATCTTAATGTGAAAGAGAAAATAATTGAAGACATGCGAATGACACTGCAAGAACAGGAACAAACTCAGGAAGAACAAGATCAAGTGCTTGAGTTGAAATTGCAGGAAGCTGAAAGGCTGGCTACAGGTAGAATAAGAAGTGCTTAAATATCTTGAGATATACTCTTCCGTTTTCTTTATTTTCCTACATTTCTTTCCTTTGTGAAATGCTTGTAGTATTTATAATAATTCACAGTGAAAAAGTATTTGGTGAGTTTTTGGAATGTCTTGTCACTTGCTACCTTCCAACATGATGAAAAAAAATTTTTTAATCTAATTGAAATTGTATCTAGTAAAAAGGAATAAAGAAACTTTCATAATAACTGGATGGTAAATTGCAGTTTTCCCACAAGTTAAGGATAAACTTTCAACTGAGTTTCTTCTCTTTTCAGCTTTTATTATAATCTTGTACATTTATCTCAATACTCTGATTCCATCCTTCAGAAGACCCATCAGATTTTTTTTCATTAATAACATAATATGGAATATCCTTTATAATTAAGATTGACATGCATTTATACTTTGTATTCTGTACACTATTCACTGTGTTCCTGAAAGATCCTTGTTGTCCCTCTTTCTTTTGTTAAGAATTTGGTAAAAGCTCTCAGAAGTAGAGCTGTTGGATTAGTCACACTTCTCTCTTGGTCTTTCATCTTTTGGGTCTGATTCTTGTCTGTCCTATACAACATGTATCCTCTACATGGTATAATTTTTGCATGTGCTTTTAAAACTAGTTTTATATTTAATTTTATGTTTTCAAATCAGAATTGGAAAAATGGAAGGAAAAATTCAAAGATCTGGAAACTAAAAGTAATCAAAGATCAAATAAAGAACTTGAGGATAATATAGATGTACTTAGTGGAAAGCTCAGTAAGCTGCAGGATGAGTTACAGGTATGATTTTGTCTTTGTATATATCTGTCCATTGTTTTTCTCATGAGAGGAGAATTAAGTAAATATTTTGTAATTAATTTAGATACAGGTAAAACATCTGTGAAATATTCATATATAGATATAAAGAATTAAGTAAATATTTTGTAATTAATTTAGATACAGGTAAAACATCTGTGAAATATTCATATATAGATATAAAGAATTAAGTAAATATTTTGTAATTAATTTAGATACAGGTAAAACATCTGTGAAATATTCATATATAGATATAAATTTTCAGTGTAAAAATGAGGAAATTCCCAAGATACAAACAACTGAGTGCCAATGAAAATACGTGGTTAGGTGTTCAATTTTACATTTTATTATATATTTAATTCTTAAATCACCACTTCATATATCTTTGTACCTATTTTTCTACTTAATTTTTATTCATCAAATGCTGTTGTGGGGAAGATGACTATTAGGAAGCTTATTTCGATTATTATAAGTAATCTTTTCAATGTTTAATAAGTTGGAAGGGAATACAGTTGTTATTTGAACCCTGGAATATATTTGAAACCATGCTATATAGAAGGTACTCTGTTGATGTTGTTTTTTTCCATGTTCAACTCTATGTACAGAATATAGTATATGGGGGAAATATTTTTTAAATGGAATTTACCAAATACCACTTATAATGTATGTTTTACTAGAAGTTGCATTCATAACTTGTTTTGAAATTGAAGAAACAGTGATTTTAAAAAGTTTACTGCATCTAAATTATTTTTTTAATTCAGACTGTATATAATCAGATACAAAAAAATTAATTTCTTTTGTAACTGTTAATTATGTGTGCTAGAATTTACCCTTTCCATTGTAAAACCCAAAGGCAGCTAGAACATAGTAAATACTCCATTAATTATGAAAAAATGCATTAACTATATTGAAAATGTTCAAGAGTATTGGTACGTCTTACATTGTTCTAAATTGATATAATTATCCATCTTAGATTATAAATTTTGTAATCTTAGAATGTACTGCCATAGTTTATCCAGTTCAGTGATTTTATAATTTTTTTTAGCTGTGGGATATATATTTATATGTATATTTTTCAGTGTACTTTTATTTTTGTTTCAAATGATGTTTTATTTGGAATTTGAATGCATAAATTAGATGCTTTTAAACCCAAAAGATCTATGGAAGCCACTTTGAAAATTACTGATCAACTATATTCTGTTCCCAGTGTCCCTTAAACTAATAAACTGTTTGTCCTGTTGCACAAGTTATTCTTTACTTAGCATCCTGTATACACAGGAATATTTTACTTTTGAAACTGTGAAATTAGAAATGACCAACACAAACCAAGCCTTTTCGTTCTGGCATTTTAGGAACACTTAGGTCTCTGTAGCTCAGAAATTTAAATTGTTTATTTCTTCTTAACCTCACTGATGAAGGAAAGTCCCTAAATGGATTTCATAGCAAAATTAAGTTTATAAAGGAAGGGAATCAGCAGTGTTCATTCTATAATCTGAAATAAACTCTGGTCTTGTATTGTTTAAAAAAGAACACCTGTTTTTAAGTTTTCATAAAGGTGAAAAGTGATGGGTTCTATTACAGTGTTATAAAAATAGGTTGATATAGTACTTCTCAAGCAATTGGTAGTTACTTGTACTATTTATATGTAGGAATCTGAACAGAAATACAATGCTGATAGAAAGAAGTGGTTAGAAGAAAAAATGATGCTTATCACTCAGGCAAAAGAAGCTGAGAGTCTACGAAACAAAGAGATGAAAAAATATGCTGAAGACAGAGAACGTTGTTTAAAGCAACAAAATGAAGTGGTTGGTGACAATTATACTTTACCTTTGATGTATTTCACATGCTTTGGTTTGTCACATTTATCCTTGGAATTCTTATCAGTCTCTACGTGGTTGCCTGTTTTTGTTCTTGTTTTGTTTTTAGGGCAGTTTGTCTATTTTGTGAGATGATTTTTCTGTTCCATTTTATCTTAGAGTTCATTTGTTTTTATTTTAACTTTTTTCAGTCCACTTAGCAAGTTGGGAAAATACCTAATTACATCTCAGTATCTAAAAGGTAATGTAAAAATCTCTTCCTTTTAACTGCCACAGGGACAATGTTATATTATTATATTGCAAAACTTTTTGCATTTTGAACTGTAGATTCTAACATGGTATGTGTATTTTACCACATAAGCCAATTTTATCAGGTCTCTGAAAAGTCAACTAGTTTCTATAAGACTATAGGTAGAAATAACCTTCAGTTTTACATTGACTAGCTGTAGTTCTTATAGCAGTTTTATCTTAGCTTGTTTGTCTTCATCCTATTTTAATTGACAACTTAGTCTGTTTGACATGCAATGTTGCCAAACAAAAAAAAGTTAAAAGACATCACTGATCCTAGGAAAACTACTGAGGGACATATTAACATTATCTTTAAATGGAAAACTTGTTCTCTGTTTGCAGTAATAGTAACTTGAGAGTATCACATTGTTATCCCTTGTTATTTCCTTTATTTATGACTGCTAATCTTTCCTGTTAAAACAAGAATGTTAATTTTCAGTAACTTAAGGATGATTTTCTCCCTGGCTTAAAACAATATTTTTATGGTTTTATTTTGAAATCATTTTATTTAGTCTTTTCAACGTTTTCCTAGTACAGAGCTCTTGTACACCTATCACCTAACTTCTCTTTCTTTTATGTAACAACGGTACAATGATGAAAACCAACAAATTAATATTATAGTACTACTAACTAAATTATGGACCTTATTAGAATTTACCAATTTTCCCACTAATGTCTTTTTCTGGGTCCAGAATCTAATCCAGGATACTACATTACATTTAGTTGACATGTTCAGAGTCTTGACTCTTTTTGTCATATGCCATGTCTTGTGAGACTAATACTTGTCATTACTAAACTAAGATAGCAATGTTTTATTTCATGTGCCAACTTATGTAGTTGGAGGTACTTTCAGAAAGTGTTGAGTTGAGCAGAAATCTGTTGAGTGGATCTGTCTTACTAGGACAGGTTGCTGCTGGCTCTCTGTTCCTATTTTATGCCCATTAAATCTTCATGGGCAGTAGTAAGACACAAGAAGTGAAATTAAAACTGTTGGCTGATAGTGCAGTTCCAAACCAGGAATGGAGCTGCTCCTAGTCAGTGGTCCTTTTGGCAGTGATGCCAGCAAGCTAAACGTGCTTTGAGTTTTTAATTATAGAGAAAGCTAGCATCCTCCTTTCTTGTATATTTCTTTATAGTCATACCTAGGGTGTATGTGTCTGCCATATTTACAAAGTAAATTGTTGACTCCTTTTTTATTAGTAGTAAATTGTTGAATTTTTTAAGCTTTTTAAATTGTAACACAAACACAGTAAATAAACAAAGCAGATACATAGTTCACTGAATTATTGTACAGCCAACACTGACTTAACCATCACCCAGTTAAAGAAGTAGAACATTCTAGCACCCCAGAGGCTCCTTCTTCTACTGCTTTGCCAGTGGCAATAACTATTCTGTTCTTTAATATTATACTTTAGTCTGACCACTTTTGAATTTCATATAGATGGAAATAAACAGTTGAATGAACAACACAGATTTGACCTGTGTGGGTACATTTACATGCTGATTCTTTTTCAGTAAATACAGGACAGAACTATAAGTGTATTTTCCTTATGATTTTCTTAATATGTTCTGTTCTGTAATTCATTTTGTTGTAAGAATACAGTATTCTTACAATACATGTAACATACAAAATATGTGTCAATCAACTGTTGATGTTACCGGTAAGGCTCAACAGTAGGCTATTGGTAGGTAAGTTTTGGGGGAGTCACAAGTTACACGTGGATGTTCAACTCTGAGTGGTTGGTTCTCCAAGCCCCCACATTCTTCAATGCTCAACTATATACAGAATTTCATTTGTGTGTGTGCTGGCTTCTTTCACTCAGTATTGTATGTGTGAGAATCACCTCTGTGTTGTTGTGTGTAGCTGTGGTTAGTCCACTTTCATTGCTGAATATTTTAATGTATGAATACACCACAGTTTATTCATTTCAGTGTTGAAGATAGTGGGTTGTTCCCTGTTTTGGGCTGTTAAGAGTAAATTCTCATATCCATTTTTACACATTTTTCTTAGTGTACATGTGTATGCATTTCTGTTGCATATTTAGCCAAGAATAAAATTGCTAGATAGGGTATATCTATGTGGAACTCTAGTAGAATGCCAGAATTACTGCTTTTCAAAGTAATCATACCCATTTATACTCCAACTAGTTGCTATATATACCCACCAACATACTGTTTTGTCAGTCATTTTTTATGGTTCTAATGTGCTTTTTCTTGATTACTAATGAGGTTGAGAATCATTTCATTTGTTTATTAGCTCTACCTATTTTCTGTTAGACTAAATAGCTTTTTCTTGTTAATATGTAGTTCCTTATTCTTGCTGGATAGGAACCCTTTGTCCGTAATGTGTTACAAGTACCTTTTCAGTAACTTAAGGATGATTTTCTCCCTGGCTTAAAACAATATTTTTATGGTTTTATTTTGAAATCATTTTATTTACAGAAAAGTTGCAAAACCTAGTACAGAGCTCTTGTACACCTATCACCTAACTTCTCTTTCTTTTATGTAACAACGGTACAATGATGAAAACCAACCTTTAGTTTTCTTTTTCACTGCCATATTGCTTTTCTGTGAATTATAAATTCTTAAACTAATTTTAGTTCATTTTCCCAATCTTTTCCTTCATAAACCTAAAGGAATACTATTCGCTTACATTATTTCCTGTTTAAGGTTTTACTTTTCATATTTAGAACCTAGAATGGTTTTTATGTTGGACTGAGATGGGGTCAAAGCTTGTTTTTTGTGTGTTTTTTTTATGTGGATTACCAGTTTTCCTCATAGTATTAATGGAAAAAAAACCTGTTTCCTTCCCACTGCTTTATTTACCACTTTTGTCATAGATCAGTTATCCAAGATTTAGAAATTTTGGTGTGAGATTAGGGTTGCTTTGGCTATTCAGTCCTTCCAGCACCCATTGTTGAAAAGACTGTCCTTCCTTCCATTGAATTTCTATGGCACTTTTGTACTGTGTCAATTGACCATATATTTGTGGGCCCTCTACTTTGTTCCACTGATCTCTCTCTCTCTCTCTCTCTCTCCTTAAACCAGTATCACAGTCTTGATTATCATAATGCTTGAAATGACATAGTGTGACTGCTCCTACTTTATTCTTCATTTTAAAAATAATTTTGACTATCTTAGATAATTTGCATTTCTGTGGAACTTTTAGAGTCAGCTTCTCCATTTCTACACACACACACACACACACACGCACGCACGCATGCACGCACGCACGCACGCCTGGATTTTGATTGAAATTACCTTGATTCTATAGATTTATTTGGGGAGAACAGTCATCTTAACAATATTGAGTCTTGAGCCTTGAACATACATTATCCCTCCATTTAAGTGTTCTTTAATTTCTTTCAACAATGTCTGCATTTTATACATATTCTCTTTAATTAACACTAACCAAATTGTGATTTTTGAACCCATTGAAAATGGTATTTTAAATATTCATCTCTGTTTTTTGTTGCTAGTAGTTTTGTCATTTGTTTTACTTTAATTGTGCCCTGTCATTTCCCAGATTGGCGAAAATGCTGGTATTAGTTTAAAAGCTATTAATTGCTTACTGAAAGAAGTGACCGATAAGTTGATTTTTTTAAGGTATCATTGATATACACTCTTGTGAAGGTTTCACAAGAAAAACAATGTGGTTACTACATTCACCCATATTATTAAGTGCCCCCCCATACCCCATTGCGGTCACTGTCCCATTAGTGTAGTAAAGTGCCACAGAGTCACTACTTGTCACTACTTGTCATCCCTGTGCCACACTGTCTTCCCCATGACCCCCCCACCCTGACACCATGTGAACGAATCAATACCCTTCAATCCCCCTTCTCCCTCCCTCCCCACTTGCCCTCTCCTACCCCTCCCCTTTGGTAACCACTGGTCCCTTGGAGTCTGTGAGTCTCCTGCTGTTTTTGTTCTTTCAGTTTTGCTTTGCTGTTATACTACGCAAATGAGGGAAATCATTTGGTATTTGTCTTTCTCTGCCTGACTTACTTCACTGAGCGTAATACCCTCTAGCTATATCCATGTTGTGGCAAATGGTAGGATTTGTTTGTTTCTCATGGCTGAATAATATTCCATTGTGTATATGTACCACATCTTCTTTATCTGTTCATCTACTGATGGACACTTATCTGGACTATTGTAAATAGTGCTGCAGTAAACATAGGGGTGCATATGTCTTTTTGAATCTGAGAAATTGTTTTTTTTGGGTAAATTCCTAGGATGGGAATTCCTGGGTGAAATGATATTTCTATTTTTACTTTTTTGGGGCACCTCCATATTGCTTTCCACAAGGTTAAACTAGTTTACATTCCCACCAGTAGTGTAGGAGGGTTCCGCTTTCTCCGATCCTCGCCAGCATTTGTTGTTTCTAGTCTTTTCGATGTTGGCTGTCCTAACTGATGTGAGGTGATATCTCACTGTTGTTGTAATGTGCATTTCCCTGATAATTTAGTGATGTGGAGCATCTTTTCATGTGCCTCTTGGCCATCTGAATTTCTTCGGTGAATTGTCGGTTCATATTCTCTGCCCATTTTTTAATAGGGTTATTTGCTTTTTGGGTGTTGAGATGTGTGAATTCTTTATATATTTTGCATATTAATCCATTGTCAGATAAATAGCTTACATATATATTCTCCCATACTGTAGGATGCCTTTTTGGTCTGCTGATGGTGTCCTTTGCT